GTGGGGGCAGGGCCGGGGACAGAGGTGGGGTCGAGCACACAGGGGAAAGCGGGAAAGTCGGTGCCTATTCCGTGGAGGTGAAGAGGGGGAAAGTGTGAGTGAAGACAGGGAAAGAAAGAGGGAGTGGAGGGATATAAAAGAGGTAGAGTTTTGAGTGTGTGTGTGTGTGTATGTGTGTGTGTGTGTACGTACACACAGGGTGTGGGAGGGAAGCAAGAGCACAGTCCCAAGTAGGAGAAACTGAGAATATTGAAGGGAAATTCTACACAGGGCTTGGCAGGAGAAAGTGGGGGCGCAGAGGGCAAAGAAAGGCCTTGAAGGAACACAAGAGATGGGCTCAGAGAAAAATAATGCCATGAAATTTTAAAATAAATGTTAAACACAGACAAATTAGACTGAGAGAAGAGACACACTGAGGGAAGGGGAGCATGGCCAGGTACTTGATTTGATAGAAAATGTGATATCAAATTATTGGTAAAATATACACATAAAACACTGTAAGTAACAGGCCATGGCTGGACTTGCACCAGCCCAGCCCACTAACAACCACCAAATATCTGAGAGCTCCCTGCTCTCTGATAATCCCTGCCCCTAGAGCAACTGTAGTGCTGAGAGGTGGCACTTGCCTGACCATCTTATATCTTCTGCTTCCTTCTGCCTGGGCGATAGCACTCTGACAGCATTGTGGTAGTGGTGCTGCTGCTGCTGCTGCACACTTGCATTAGCAAGTGTGTTTGATTTGTTATTTGTCACACAGCACAAATCACTGAAATAATAAAATAGGTATACATAGTGGGAGGCACCGTGGTCTAGTGTATAGCGCACCACCAAGGACTCAAGAGACCTGACTTCTATTCTTAGCTCTGCCACTGGACAGCAGGGTGGTCTTGGGCAAGCCATTTTACTTCCCTTTGCCTGAGTTTCCCCATCTGTAAAATGGGGATAATGATACTCACCTCCTGTGTGAAGTGCTTTGAGATCTATACGAGAGCTAGGTTATTTTTAACTGGAATATTGTAATGGGAAATGCCAGCGATATGAAACCTTTCCAGTCTGTACTCCGGTGGCTTTTAGTGTTCTGCAGCCCATCCCCCACTCAAACAATATTTTCACTAGCTGCCTAGGCCTGCTCCACAGTCACATCTGTGACTCCTAAGGGTTTAGGAGCCCCCCTCTGAGTGCAAAGCCCCCTCACTGCACACAGGCAGAGTCTGTGACTCTGGCTTCAAACTGCCGTATATGAGCTCCCCAATATCCATGACTCGGGGTAGGGGAAGGACAGTCTTCCCCATGGCTGACTGACAGCCAGGGAGAACTGAACAGACTGCATGGCCCATAAAATGATCTCACTCAGGGAGAGGATGGGCTCCACTGTGGTAAAACTACTCCTCCAAACCCAGTCATGAAGGGAGGGGGACTTAGCCTTCCCACTACACCCCAAACCCCACATAACACAGTAAGTGTTAAGCAAGAGCTGTAAAAGGTGACGGCATCCTACAGCTTTAATTAATAACCTATGTGGTCTCAGTGAGGATCGGGTAGAAGAGCAGGTCAGGATCCACAAAGGACTGTTAGGGGGGTTCCTGGCCCCTGTGAACCATGACAGTTTACAAGTGTTGGAGTGAGTGCCCCACTGTGCGTTGGGTCTCATACTCAGGATCGGTCAGGTCAGTGTGCATCCAAGATAGGAAGGTCAGGAGCTACTGCTTCCTTCAGTGAAGCACACCACAGGGCCAGGATTTGTCCTTACAAATGGCAGTTGTGTCATTTTCAATGTCATGTTAAAAATGTTTAACACAGACAAGAGGGTGACAAGCCTTGTGGAGAGGGGGGAAGCAGTAGATGTGGTATATCTTGACTTTAGCAAGGATTTTGATACCGTGTCGCATGACCTTCTCATAAACAAACTAAGGAAATGTAACCTAGATGGAGTAACTATAAAGTAGAAAGCCATTGCCAGAGACTAGTTACCAGTGGTTCACAGTCAAGCTGGAAGGGCATATCAAGTGGGGTCCCACAGGGATCAGTTTTGGGTCCAGTTCTGCTCAATGTCTTCATCAATGATTTAGATAATGGTATAGAGAGTACACTTATAAAGTTTGCAGACAATACCAAGCTGGGAGGGGTTGCACGTGCTTTGGAGGATAAAATTCAAAATGATCTGGACAAACTGAATAAATGGTCCGGAAACAAGAAAATAGGATGAAATTCAATAAGAACAAATACAAAGTACTCCACTTAGGAAGGAACAATCAGTTGCACACATACAAAATGGGAAATGACTGCCTAGGAAGGAGTACTGCAGAAAGGATTCTGGGGGTCATAGTGGATCACAAACTAAATATGAGTCAACAATGTAACACTGTTGCAAAATAAGCAAACATCATTTTAGGGTGTATTAGCAGGAGTGTTGTAAGCAAACCACGAGACGTAATTCTTCCACTCTACTCTTCACTGATTAGGCCTCAACTGGAGTATTGTGTTCACTTTTGGTGCCACATTTCAGGAAAGAGGTGGAAAAATTGGAGAAAGTCCAGAGAAGAGCAACAAAAATGATTAAGCATCTAGAAAACGTGACCTCTGAGGGAAGATTGAAAAAATTGGGTTTGTTTAGTTTGAAGAAGAGAAGACTGAGAGGGGACATAACAGTTTTCAAGTACCTAAAAGGTTGTTACAAGGAGGAGGGAGAAAAATTATTCTCCTTAACCTCTGAAGGCCAAGAAGCAATGGGCTTAAATTTCAGCAAGGGTGGTTTAGGTTGGACATTAGGAAAAACTTCCTGTTAGGGTGGTTAAGCACTGAAATAAATTGCCTAGGGAGGTTGTGGAATCTCTATCGTTGGAGATTTTTAAGAGCAGGTTAGACAAATACCTGTCGGGAATGGTCTAGATAATACTTAGTCCTGCTATAAGTGCAGGGGAGTGGACTAGATGCCTCTCGAGGTCCCTTCCAGTCCTACGATTCTATGGTATCCATCCATCCATCCATTCATGCATTTATATGGCCCACGTCACCTGTGCTTGTTGCAGAAAGATTCGAAACAGCAACCAGATTCATGACTATCTCAGTCCAGGTGTAAGCTTCCTAAAGAAGATCTTGTGTTCAGACCAGTACAGCTTGTTTTCTAGATAGGCATATCAATCACTTGCCATTCCCTACCCTTTTTTTACCTTTAAGGCCTGGTCCACACTAACCCCCCACTTCGAACTAAGATACGCAACTTCAGCTATGCGAATAACGTAGCTGAAGTCGAAGTACCTTAGTTTGAACTTACCGCGGGTCCAGATGCGGCAGGCAGGCTCCCCCGTCGATGCCGCGTACTCCTCTCGCCGAGCTGGAGTACCGACGTTGACGGCGAACACTTCCGGGATCGATCCGGGATCGATTTATCGCGTCTAGACAAGACGCGATAAATCGATCGCAGAAGATCGATTGCTTACCGCCGGACCCGGAAGTAAGTATAGACCTACCCTAAGTCTCTTCTTTCTCTCTCTTGCACAGCAACCTCAGTTTCTAGCTATCCGTGGTCTAGTATAGGGTAGTGATGTCATGTGTTGGCTAGACCCATCAGCAGCCCTCCTGTCCAGCACAGGATTAGCCTCCTACAATCCTGACTGCCTGTATCTACCCTCCCACTACACTGCTAAAATGACAGTCTCCTATGCTGCTGTTATCTATAGTACTCATCATTGATTTTAATGAAGCGATGCCAACTTACAGCCAGCTGCGGATCTGGTGTTCAATGTGCAAGAAACTTTTTACCTGAGATAACAGAAATAATGTGCTGTTGCATGTGGTCTGCAAGTGACAAAACTGGCTCAAAAAATGGGAGAGTGAAATCATTACCCCACTTAAATCAATGGTAAAACTCCCATTGACGTCAGTAGGGCCAGATTTTCACCTTGGATGTCTGGAGCAGAAGTGCTCAAAGACCAAAGAAAGGGAAGAAAGAAAGAACTTAAGTCATAAAAATCACAGGGCAAATATACGTGTGCTAATGCAATGCAATGCATATTTTCCAATGATAAAGTAAACAATAGCACCTCACTCATTTTCACTAGTAACTGGGAGATCCGTTGTGACAGCAAGAAGCAACCAAATAAAAGTCTGGCTTAATGCATCAAAAATGTCTTTGTTCTTTAGATTTATTTATTTCTGATAAATAGCATACTATAACAGGAAATATGCAGGAGTGCATTGTGTAAGTAATGAAATCTCAGGCATGTGAGACTATTATAGCATCTACTATCGGTCTTTGCTGAGAGGGCAGTAGAGAAGGCTAGTTCTTTGGTGAAGACAATGAGGTTTTGAGGATTAGTGAAGTGAGAATTAGTCAGGTTTTATTGTAATGTAAAATGAGGAGCCGATAGGAGTGCATTTCTCATTTCTAAAATGGATCTCTTTGGGTCTGTAATCCCATTGATGGTACTACAGAAAGCATTGCTCTGCGTGAGTCAGAGTGACTGAATCCAGCTCACAGTCTGGGTCTGAAGGTAGTGATCTTTATTTTTTCAGAAGATTAGTTAATAATATGTAGAGTATTCAATAGAAACACCAAAGAAAAACAGCATTGTAAAAATCCCAAGATAGATTGTGACACATGAAATTGCCTTTTTAACATTTGCCTTAAGAAATGGTACTTTGCCAATTAGTTTGGACATAATACAGAATCAAAATGGTGACGTTCCAAAAAAACCCCAAACAGCGCTATAAATACTGATTATTTCCCTCTTTTCTTCACTACCAAATGAAGAGCAATAAGCAACACATTCCCTTTAAGGCTTCTTAAAAGCAAATAAAAGGTTCAGTTTGAATATAGAACCCCTGTTTTATTGTTGTTCCTCTTCCATACCCTTTGTGCTCAAAGGGAAAGGCTGTTAAATACATGGGGGCAGATCCTTTGCTGGTGTAAATTGTCACAGCTCTTAGAAAACTAGCTCCAGAACTCTAATTACATCAACTGAGGATCTGCCCCATTAAACCGAGATAGATCAACTTACCTTCCTGTGCTGGTCAAAACAAAAATGTAGCATAGGATGGTTCAAAGACAGCAGGATGGCTGTTTATGCTTCCAATCGCCAAACCAAAAGTCTGTCTGTGCTAGTCTTTGGCTGACTTCCTTCAAACTTTCTGGAGTGATTAATTTGCCCTAAACAAACCAAGAATTTGCTTTAAACTATTTAGAAAAAACCCTGAACTTTGTCTGTGGAGTGGCCGGTAACCAAACTGAGTACATATATGTGTGTGTCTGTTTGTCACCCTCCAGTATTGATTTTTAAGGCAATGAAAGCATTGCTCTGTTCCACTGATCAATGTCCCCGGTTATATTGATCAACTGTACATCAGTGCTGTATTTTTTTTACCATAAACTCTTTATTAATTTTCCAGTTATGCTCAGTGGCACAAGTAATGAGAAAGGAAATGTAAACATATACAAATATATATATCTACACCATATTAAGAATCAGAATACCAGCTGTAATATTACCTTGTATAGTATAATGTGTGATTTGGAACCAAATTATGCCATCATTCTGTCTTGCAGGGCATATTTGATTGTCCACTTACTCCTTTAATAGCTCTGTTCTATTATTAATGTAGAGATGGTGTACTAACTACAACAGGTCCTCTTAGTTGTTTACATTATATTTAAACAACCAAATTCTGCTGTCATTTATACCGGTATAAATCTGGAGTGAAGTCAGAAACATTACTCCAGGTTGACACTAGTATTACTGAAAGCAGAATTTGTTCTAGTGTTGGCATCATCACAAACACTTTGGTTTTTCCGATCTTATGATGATCTTCTATTGTTCAGGTATTTTTTCAACTCTGGGGAAGTGAGGGGCTGTTTTTTCCTGGGGAAGGGTCTGCCATTGCCTCCCCCCAGATTTGGGGGACAAACCCACCTCATGTTCTAACATATAGGGAAATGATTGTGAGTTCTTCACAGAAGGGATTATGTCTTCTCTGTTTGGAAAGTGTGTAGGTGCTACCAGAAACGGCAATAATACATGCAATAAAACAATATAACACAGCAAACTACTTTGTTTAAATTAAGAATGAACATGAATCCTAATACATGGAATAAAAGGACTTTCAGACTAGGTTTTAAACATGCACTCTACCCTCTTTATAAGTGTGTGTGCTACAATCTCTTTCTTATAAAGATGTCTTGGCTTCCGTTAATATTGTTATTGTTAAACTGATATAGAGTTCTCTGAATGTACATGTGCTTGTAACAACTTCATAACTTTTGAAATAATTGGTCCTTCTTTCACCTTTAATGTACCTGTCTCCATTATATTCTTTCAAACTGCTCTCCCTCTGTTTTTCCCTCTCTTCCTCATACTCTTCCTTTTTGTATCCCTTCCCATACCCTTATGCACCTATCTCCATTCTCTTCTCCACTCAGACAATGTACAAAGCCTGGCTTACGGTGAGAAATGGCTAGCCCAATCTACTCTTACAGCAATGGTTCAACAGGCAGCAATGATACAACTAGGAGACAGACCTTGGGAAGCAAGCCACATATTTATCCATTAACAGTATGTTGCCTGCTGTATGATCTCACTGAAACCTTCAGTTGTTTGCACAGCCAATGGTTGTTTGCAAAAGCCAAGGTGAGTAGTTAGAGAAAAAGGGAGGGGGTAGGGGAAGGGTTGACATGGGTTTCTGTGAGCTAGACTCAATACAACCAAATGTTTATCCAAAGATCTGTTATGTGACTATGTGTCCACTTGCTTTGTCTCAAAACTCATTTTACTTAATTACACAGAAGTGTTGCTGAGACAACATTGTGCAAGCTTGAAAATATTTTGGAGATGGTACTATCTGGTGAACTCTGACCCATGGCCAAGGGTTGCTTGTACACCTTGCTGTATGCAAAATTGTTTGACAGGTAGTTTCCTCTCATAATTAGAGTTATGCAAAGCTTTAAGCTTTCAATTTGCAGGATTTCAATGCAACACTTTTTTCTGGCTTTGTTTCATATGTGTTTACCACCCCTGAGTTTCACTTTGAATTTGTTGTTCACTTGGGTGCACTGAACTGAAGAACTAAAAGCAATACACAGAAGAAATACCCAGTTTTGCCTGGTTTCAGGGGGAAAACATGCACCCTTCTTCCTGAGTTCCAAATCCCCTCTCTTTCTTCAAATTCATCCTTATAATGCACTGCTTCTCCCATGAAGCCTTCAGTAATGACCTCTCCTAGATATTCCTACAAGCTTGAGCATATGTAGCTAACCGTTGTACTCAATGACTACTGTCTAGTCCATATTCTGTCTTGGCTAACCCCCCAGATAACCCCATCAAAATCAACGTGTAAATCAGGGCAGAATTTGGCTCTGTGAACTTGATCCAAGACTTCTGGAAGTCTTTCCATTCACTTCAGTGGAAATTGGATCAGACACTTAATTTAAAACAACAACAACAACAACAACAACAGAGGAGTGGCATCTAGTGAATAAAGCAGGGAACTGGGATCTATTTCTGACTATGCCACTGACTCACTGTGTTATCTTGGACAAGGCACTTAGGGCCAGATTTCCAAAAGTGGCTTTTTATTTTGGGTGATTCAATTTTCAGGATCCCAAATCAAGACACTTAAGGTAGATTCATAGATTCCAAGGCCAGAAGAGACCACTGTGATCATCTAGTCTGACCTCCTGTATAACACAGGCCACAGACCTTTCCCAAAATAATTCCTAGAGCTTAGCATCTAGAAAAACATCCAGTCTTGATTTAAAAGTTGCCAGTGATCCAGAATCCACCACAATCCTTAGTAAATTGTTCTAGTGGTTAATTACTCTCTGTTAAAATTTTAATGTATACCTTATTTCCAGTCTGAATTTGTCTAGCTTCTACTTCCAGACATTGGATTATATCGTACTTTTATTGTCTAAAACTGGGCACCTGAAAATGGAGGCACCCATACTTAGAGGCCACATTTGAAAATTTGTGGCTAACCCCTCTGCCTCTCTTTACCAACATGTAAAATGGGGATAATAATACAGTACTTGATACCTCTCAAGGCTGTTATGACTGAGGTTTAATTAATGTGTAAAGCACCTTGCAATCTTTAAATAATAGGTTCATGCAAAGTTTTAATAATTTTTAAAATGATACAGCAGTTTAAAGTTCCATAAAGATGTGATCATAAATGATGTTGGTGATCTGGAGTTCATTGGGCAATGCTGCCTTTTCATTAAGTTTTTATTGACAGGTTTCAGAGGGGTAGTCATGTTAGTCTGTATCAGCAAAAACTACAAGGAGTCCTGGTGGCACCTTAGAAACTAACAAATTTATTTGAGCATAAGCTTTCATGGGCTAAAACCCACTTCATCAGATGCATGGAGTGAAAAATACAGTAGGCAGGTATATATATTACAGCACATGAAAAGATGGGAGTTACCTTACCAAGTGGAGGGTCAGTGCTAAGAGGCCAATTAATAAATAAAATAAAATAAAATAATAAATAAATAGGCCACATCCACCCTGTTTGAATTGGCCTCGTTAGCACTGACCCCCTACTTGGTAAGGTAACTCCCATCTTTTCATGTGCTGTAATATATATACCTGTCTACTGTATTTTTCACTCCACGCATCTGATGAAGTGGGTTTTAGCCCACGAAAGCTTATGCCCAAATAAATTTGTTAGTCTCTAAGGTGCCACAAGGACTCCTCGTTGTTTACGTTTTTAGTGATAACCCTAAATTTTCAAAAGTGGCTGCTGATTTTGGAAAATGTCTTAGGTTGGGCTCCTGAAAATTGAATTGAATCTCCCAAAATCAGAGGCCACTTTCAAAAACGTAGGCCATAGTCTGTTAGGTGTCCAGGAGAATGTGAACAGAACTTACAGCTGAGGCCAGACCCACAGAGATAACAGAGACAGACCTCAACTGGTAATATCAGGGTGACCACCTTTTCAAAATGCAAAAATGGGACACATGCAGGAGCCCCGCCCCCTCAATGACCTTGCCTCTTGCTTCTCCTTTTCCTCCTGAGGCCCCGCCCCCTGCCCAGGCCAGAAGCTGGAGCCAGGCAGTAGTAAGAGACACCCATGGAGCCTAGGTTGCTGTGGGGAGCTCAGACCCTCCACCTGCCCAAGAGCAGCACCTGGCCCATGTCCCTGCCCCCCGGCTGTGCCGCCTAAGGCAGGTGGAGGGTCTGAGTCTCTCCACAGCAGCCTAGGATCTCTGGGTGGCTCTAACTTCTGCCCGGCCCCTGCTTCTGGCCTGGCCAGGGGTGGGGCGTCAGCCCCATCCCTCCACCCCCCCACCGGGAAGAGGCTGGCACCACCACTGAGCCTCAGGCAGGCGCGGAATGGTGCTGCAGGGAATTCGGGACAAATGTTATCCCGGAGTCATTCAGCCTTGGATGGGGACTTGAAATGTACTAGGGTTACCAAATTTCCACAATCAAAAAAGAGGACACTGGGGGGGAGCCCCGCCCCCCCATCCACTCCCTCCCACTTCCCACCCCCTGACTGCCCCCCTCAGAACCCCCAACCCCCTTCAACCCCCCCCGCTCTTTGTCCCCTGACTGCCCCCTCCTGGGACCCCTGCCACTAACTGCCCCCTAGAACCCCACCTCCTATCTAAGCCTCCCTGCTTCTTGTCCCCTGACTGCCCCCTCCTGAGAACCCCCCCCACCCTAACTGCCCCCCTAGGACCCTACCTGTCCCCTGACTGCCCCGACCCTTATCCACACCCCCACCCCATGACCCTTATCCACACCCCCTCCCCGAGACAGACCCCCGGGACTCCCACGCCCTATCCAACAGCTCCCCGCTCCCTGACAGGACCCCTAGAACTCCTGACCCATCCAAC